TGACTTATCCCAAGAAAATAGGAAAACCTGTTTAATTTACCTTTTAATTGTTGTTTCTTGAAAAATAGAGTCTTGCATAGATTCGAATAAAAACAACCCAAATTAACACTATAAAATGAGACATCACAGATTAATTAATAACAAAATATTAACTAAATAAAATACTCATCAACAAATTACCAAGAGCCCAACTCCATATTTAATAAATCATACCAGAGTAGAGAAAACAAAGAAAAGAACAGAAAAAACAACTAGATCTCAATATGGCCTAAGTGACTAAAATGTAAGTTTTAAAAGTTTTGTGGCTAAAGCATAAACTTGTAATTAATAACAAATTTTTAACTAAATAAAACACTCATCAACAAGGGACTAAGAGCCCAACTCCATATTTAATAATAAATCATGCCACAGTAGAGAAAATGAAGAAAAGAACCAAAAAAAAACAACTATATCTCAATATGACCTAAAATATAATATCCCAAATTTTGGTTAGTGACTAAAATGTAAGGAGTATTATATCTCATCAAATTTTATGGATTTTTATTTAATTTTATTAAGCTTAAATTATGTTAGTTCGATACTAACATATAGTTGAATATTTTATGTTATTATATGACGTTGTCAGATCACGATAAACCTAGTGAATCGAGTGATCCAAAAGGAAAGAACAAAGCACAAGAGTAAGGAGTATTATATAAAAGTTCGGTAGTGAGGCAAATACGAGTGCAATTTATTTATTTAATTATTGTAGTGATCAAAGACGACTTACGACAAGTCAACCTCATAGTATTATTTTTAAGTATGATTTATAACTTACAATTATGAGTTATTTTTATAATATTTTTATCAAGCATTATGAATGATTTCAGGTATGAACTGCCCAAGTACGATTTTTATAATGATGAATATAAATGTTTACCATTTTTAAGACTTTAATTATTAAATGATTATATTATGATTTATAAGCTCATTGTATGTTGCATTGAGAGTCGTAGGTACATTTGACATACCATTAAGTTGAGTATTTTCAAGTATGATACATTTGTGTACATTATGAATAGCACCGTTGGTGCACATGTTACAATTTGCACTTGGAGTGCATCTTATGATACGTTATGATTGACACCATGATGTATCTAGCACTTATGTTCTACTCATGTACCTTGTATTCTCGTAAATATGCATTGGGCTTTAAAAAATGAAAACGTAAGCTATGAATTATGACAATTTGAAAGTAAGTATGATATGATTATTTTATCTAATATTATTTATCATAGTCCTTATATTTATGATATTTACATATTTTATCTCACCTTAGCTTATTATTGCCTCACTAAATTATATTTAGCGCATAATGATTTTTCATGTGTAGGTCATGATAGAGATATGGACGTGCAGTGAGGAGCCTCCCGAACATCTTTTTGGAGATCATCTATATTATCAGTATCAGTAAGACATCTTTGATGTTATTTTTGACTAGTAGTGACAGGTATATTTATGTTATCAGTTTGTTTCATCAATTTTATTCTAAATGGTCTGTGATAGTAAACTATGATCATTTTATTTTGACTAGTATAGTTTTATCAGTATTATGCATGAGAAGAATATATATATATATATATATATATATATATATTATGTTTAAAATGGTTTGGAAATTCAGACAGTTCTAAATAGTTTACGAAAACACATTAAACTTTCTAATTTCTTATTGAAAATTTGATTTGTCTTCTACGTCAAAATATTAATTTATAATTTTTATGTTATTAAGAAAATAGATTTAAAGTTAAAATAGCAACGCTTTAAAAAAGAAACAAAATTTTAAACATTTATATTTGACGAATGTTTGTTATAGTCAATGTAACATCTTTAACTCGTACTTCGAGACGTATACGAGTTATGGGTGTTACATAAAATGTATCAATAAACCCTAATTCAGAGGAGGATGAGCTAAGCTAAACCCACATACAGAATCACTGTAGTTCTAGCAACGCACAGGACAATTGGGGTTGGCCAAGTCATTTAAGCTCCACTTCGTTCAACACTTCAACTGCAGGTCCTCTCAAGTTTTGAGCTTTGCTTGGTATGAATGATGGAAAACTTGTTAATCAAATAGTTAAGATTCATAACCACTTTCTTACTTTGATCTTAACCATCTGATTAACAAATTATCCATCCTCCATATACCAAGCAAAGCCCTGACGTTCTAGTTGATTCAGTTTGCTCGTGTTGTTTCATCTATCAAGTATTTCAACTTCAGTGACTTCAAGTTCAAGTTACTTCATGCCCCAGGTCAGTTTGAATCCAAATACTTTCTAGACCAGATTAAGTTAGGTTTCATTACTTCATCTCACTCTAGGTTTATTCTGCTCCAAAACTTTATTATGGATGCGAAAACAACCATTTTATCCAAATTAGTCACCAAAACCAAAGATTGTTTTTATTAAAATTTCAAACTGTAAGAACTAATTCTAAAATGAACCAACCCTAGCTTTCTTCGTGTAGAAGAAACAGTAGTTACGTATAGACAAGTAAATAGGATGGCTAAACAATTAAAAACTTCAGATTTGGCGATACTCAAAATGCAAGTTATGGCATAATAATGCTGGAAAAACTATCACATTTTAGCTGGCTGGCTACGTTTCAACGATCAAAGGAGCCTTCCAAAAGTTTCAAAGTTCATCAAACTGATAACCGAACATCAAGTTAGGCTGCCGGAGATTGTTCTCAAGTTAGGCTGGCGGACTGTTGGAGGAATGAGGGTGGAAGAATATCGCAAGCAGGAAGTGCCACGAGTTAACTCCATTTGACTCGGACTAAATGAAAATTTTGCTCATGAGAAACGGTTGTTCTAATATATATATATATATATTCTGATCTGAAATCAGTGGATTTAATTCTGCTCAGCTTCAACCGCACTCTGTGTTACTACTAAGTTTAATTGAGTGGACCCACTACTACTGTGCTTTCCCTCCATTTGTCTTTAAGTTGACGGTTGCTCGTCGCTTAATCATCGCGATTGCTAATATTTTTGGGCTAACTACGTAATCATCCTTGTAACTTTCTTAAACTCTAGATATACATATCATAATTAGAAATGAACTTTGGTCTAACGTACAATATTTTTTTAAATTTTATGTTATCATATATATATATATATATGTATAAATAATTTTATTTTATTTAATTCTCACAAGTAAATTAACATTACGGCAAACTACCCTAAACTATTAATTTTGGTTCATTTTAGTACCTAAACTTTTAATTTTTCAAAACTATACCTAACGTTTAGTTTTTTTTTTTCATTTTAGTATCCGTCGTTAAAAACTTAATGCATTTAATAATTGAACTGCCAATTTTAGTTTGTTTTAGAGCCTATACTTTTAGTTTTTTTCAAAACTTAAGAATAAATTTTGAATGGAGTACTAAAATGAAATAAAAACTAGAGTTTTTAAGGGCGGGTACTAAAATAAAACAAAAACTATAATTTTTAAGGACGGGTACTAAAATAAAACAAAAACTATAGTTTTTAGGGTGGGGTACTAAAATGAAACAAAAACTAAACTTTAAGTATCATTTTAAAAAATTAAAAGTTTAGATGCTAAAATGAATTAAAATTAATAGTTTAGACACTAAATACGTGATTTACCCCTAACATTATTATCTATGCAATACCATTCTATAATACTTATAGTACAACTAACCATTATTTTTATATAAAAATAAATATATAAACATAATTAAATCAAAATTGTATATATCCTCCTAAACATGCATCCTTCCTATGTTTAGAGGAGTTTACATAGATAATATATATTTATAATTTTTTTAATTAATTAATAATGTATATATATTTTGAAGACATAGTTGTTCAAATTCAAGACTTATAATTTTCTTTTATCATTAAGAATACTTATGATTTTAATTAAATTTTAAAATTAAACTTTATAATGTGACTTTGTTGTCTAATAATTAAAAATACATCAGAGTTTGCTTAAAAATAAAATATCATTTCCACCTATGCAGATTATACTTTGGTTTAATATAAAAATAAGTGAATAGACTTTATCTCGAAAAATATTTTAGTGTTTAAAGAATTTCTCTAAAAATATGTGTCTAAAGTTTTTTCCGTTATACTTTTAGGTTTCTATCGTTAAAAAAATCGTTAAGTGACACATGTCACGTCTAGTTTTTTTAAAAATATTTTATTTGTAATTTAAAAAAATCTGAATGTGACACATATCACTTAATGATTTTTTTAACGGTAGTCACCTAAAAGTGTAACGAAAAAACTTTAAACATATAATTTTAGTGAAAATTTCTATAGAATAATTTAGACACTTATTTTTATAAAAATTAGTCATTAAAATTAATTATTTAAGTGGTAATAAAATTTCAAATCTATTCCATAAGACTAGGGATGGGTATAGGTCGGGTTTTTGGTCCACCCGACCCGACCCGAGAACAAAGAATCTTTCACCCGAGATCTGATCCGACTCGATCAAAATAAGATTCCACCCGACCCGAACCCGACCCAATATATAACTTAAAATCTAACCTGATCCGAAATAATAAAAAAATATTATTTTTATTTAATAAAAATATTAACTTAATTGAAAATAATAATATAGGGATATTATTGTAATTATTCTTAAATATATAAAGTAAAATTATATATATTTTTTGAGTCTGTTCGAATCGAATATTTTTTATCTTAAACTCAATCCAATCCAACTCAAACATCACATAAAAAATCTGACCCGATCTAATTTCTTTAAAAAAGTTAAATCTTATCCTATCAAATCAAAACTAGTCAGTTCGGGTATGATGCTAATTCCTACCGATCAACAAATATTTAAGCGAGTGATTGACGCCAAAATAAGCGGCATGAATAAGGCGAAGGACAAAACCACAGTAGCTTTCACACGGAATCCAACGCAGTCTCACAAAGCCACGTACTTTATTCTCACACTTCCTTAGCTGTCGGTCGGTCAAGGTTTAAGCTTTGTAACTTTGGTTTTCTCTCACCTTCTTCAATTGTGTTTTCAGTTCCGCTATCACCGCCACGTGGCTTCTATATTTCTCAAAAGCAAAAAAAAAAAACACTACTAGAGTGTGATATGGATGTGCAGAAAACCCAGCAGCCTGGAGGAGGATAAAGAGATGCTTTGTAGCCGTGAGATCTTCAAGTTCTTAGTGAGGAAAGATGTGAGGAAGATACTGAGGCGGAAGGACAGCGATGCTGGTGAAAGAGGTAAACCAAAAAAATTAAACGTTTGGGATTTTTCTCTAGAAATAATCCCTATTTCTGCAATCTTTTTCTTTCACATTTTTCATATTTCAAGACTCCATTTTTGTAAACTCTATCTTGCTTGCATGTCCCTTTTCTTTTTGTTTCTCTAGAAACAAATCAAGTCACATTTAGCAGCATGAGCTTAATAGGTCTACATGAAAGCTTCTCATCTTGACTGGACTAGTATAGTAGAGAGTTCTGTTCCGAGCATGAAACTCTCTTTCACTGATTATGTTATTTCATTTGTGTATATGGATGTCTTAGCTATTGGAACATGTATATGAATTTACCGAAAAGTATTGTTCTCTATGCTGTGTTTTTAATCTTTCTTTTTTTTGCTTCCTTTTGCTTCCTTGCCTCACAAATTCAGGGAAAGCCCTAGAGGACCTGCGATCTTCGCTCTTTAACAAATTCTACTCGGTCGAAAGTTCAAAGCGTCAACGAATTTGTGGCCCTGTTGCTGCTCTTACGTTCAACTTTATCGTTGCTGTTGGTATTATTTTCATAAACAAATGGGTTTGTATGCCAAATTTTCTCTTATGTAAAGCAACTCTTAGTCAAGATCTTGGTTTTATATTTAATAAATTTTTCCTATATGATCGATGTACTCGTTTGGTGTTTTCAGGTGCTTAAAAATGTAGGATTCCAGTTTCCAGTATTTCTGACTTTTATTCACTATGCTGTTAGTTGGGCACTGATGGCCATTCTGAATACGTTTTCCCTGCTCCCAGCATCCCCGTCCTCGAAATCAACCCCTTTGTCTTTGTTTACTCTCGGTATTGTTATGTCTTTATCGACCGGCCTTGCAAATGTCAGTTTGAAATACAATAGGTTAGATATTTTATCTCTCTTTAAAAACAACTAACAAGACTCGTTTGGACGACCTTTTGGCTTAATTGTTAATTAATTTGTTTTTCCAGTGTAGGATTTTATCAGATGGCTAAGATTGCTGTCACACCATCTATTGTGCTTGCAGAATTTATATGGTATAAGAAGGGAGTCACTTTCTGCAAGGTAACTCGTCCATTTCTTTTTTCTTTCGACTCGGTAACGTGTCATATCTAGTGTCCCGGCCTTGGTTATAATGATAAGAAAGAATGAAAAGCAATAGTTCTTAGTATGGAGTCTAAATAAATTTTAGATCTTTCTCCAGATGAAATAGGCTGCTGTTATTTTCCATCCAGACATATTAACCGTGTTGATAGGATAGTGTTCGTCTCAAAATTGGAAGATATGTACCCATTATCTAGTTTGTGCAACATTGCTCGACATTTCATGCGTATTACGACATGTCCTTGTTATTATTTTACTAACACTATAGTTTGTAGTATTTGTCCCCTTTTTCTTGAAATTCTTCCTATTGAATCTGTCAGGTGATTGCGCTGACAGTTGTATCTATCGGTGTTGCGATTGCCACGGTGACTGATCTACAGTTCAGCCTCTTCGGAGCATGTGTAGCAATGGCATGGATTATTCCCAGTGCTACCAATAAAATCCTCTGGTCCAACTTGCAGCAACAAGAGAATTGGACGGCATTGTCGTATGTTGCAAGCTCCTTTGAGCACACTTTCGATTTATTCGTGACTTCTTGATGAAAATGATAAGCTTAGCCCACGGAAGTCAAGAGAATAGATTCCGAAAGTCGATTATCTATCGAGAATGGCCTCACCGTTTCCCTTGGGCTTTTCTTTTCCTTTATATTCTTTTGATGTCCGAAAAAGTTTTTCTTTTATGGTATTCTTGCTGCTAAAGCTTTCAATTCCGTGCTTGTTGAAGTTATGGATTTGTTGTTGAACAGGTTGATGTGGAAAACAACACCAATCACTCTGCTTTTTCTGGTTTCCATGATTCCTTTCCTCGATCCCCCGGGTGTCCTCGCCTTCCATTGGAGTTTCCACAATACATCGGCAATCCTCTTATCGGCTTTCCTCGGCTTCTTGCTTCAGTGGTCGGGAGCTTTGGCGCTCGGGTAAATCAATCTTCGCATTTATTATAATTACCGAAGTATTCCAGTTTACGCTGGTCCTCCATGGCCAATGTGGTGTACAGTTCTTGATACATATTCTATCAACTTTCAGTGCGACGTCCGCTATTTCCCACGTCGTTCTCGGACAATTCAAGACATGTGTTCTGCTTCTAGGTAGTTATTACCTTTTCGAATCGAATCCGGGCACAACCAGCATTTGCGGAGCATTTGTAGCCATCGGAGGCATGTCGTTTTTCACGTACCTGAATTTAAATGCTAAGAAGCCGCCCCCGCCGCCCCCGAAAGTCTCCTCATCTTTGCCGAAGTCCAAGTTAAGTGAAGTTAACGGGGAGAATCGCCATGGATTCGGCGATGATAGTGTTTAACCGAAACGATTCTTCGCGTAACTTAAAATCATATGTTCATTCCTGATCATAACTAAGATCTTTTTATTTCTCGTAATATACAAAGAAGTCCTTATAAAAGTACACATGCATTAATTATTGACCTAATTAACAAATTGTTATAAAAAAATTAGGTGAAGGTAGTTCATATTACAAAATAACTTTTCAAATAATTTTTAATATTTTATTTATAAATATATATTAGTAGTAATTGGTACAGGAGAAAAAAAAATCTCTGCATCTGAACCGTTAAAAAAGTAGTTCTGCTGTACCTTAATCTTAACGTAAGGAGATTAACGTAAGGTTAAGGAAAAACTCTATCGGAAATGTTATTATTTTTTAACATTTTCGGTAAAGTGCTAATAATATTTTTTTTTACTCAAAATGTTATTTTCGTTAACTAATTTTCAGTATAACTCAATATTTACATTTTCGGTAGAAAAAAATAATGTTTTAAGTAATATTTTACTGGAATTATTAAATATTTTATGTAACACTAAATATTAATATTTTGATAAAAAAAAATAATATTTTAGATAATATTTTATCGAAAATATTAAAAATAATAATAATATTTTTGATAATATCTTTCATTAACAGTATATTAACCGGTAAAAAAATGGGCCTATTGAGGAATCAAAATGTACGTACCGATTGGATGGAGCCCATGGTGATGTAACGGTGCCAAACTGACTATGTGCAGTTGGGCACATGTTTTTGACAGCAGCAATCGATCTCTATCCTATAGTAAAAAATACATTAAGTAAATAAAAGAGTAAAATACACAAATGATCCTCTAACTATAGGATATTTTTTTAAGTCCTTTAATCATTAAAAATTATAAAATGGTCACTTAATTATAAGATACTACTTTGTTGAGTCCCTTGACTAGTAAAAGTTACAAAATGGTCACCCTACTTATTGAGATATGATAAAATCTGATTCCAAAAATGTTCTAGTAGACATCAATAATATGTAATTTTATCATATCTCAATTGGTAGGCTAACGTCCAACTCAAACGCCGTTAATTTTTAATAAAAAATGACAAGTTTAGAACATATGAAGTATGGTGAATAATTTATAACTTTTAATAGTCGGAAGACTCAATAAAATAACGTTCTATACTCAAGAGGCTATTTTATAACTTTTAATAATTGAGAGACTCGATAAATAACATCTTATAATCGAAGACATTTTATAAAATTCCGTTTCCACGTGGGTTGTTCCCACCGACCGTGCATACTTTTTGGATAATGTATTATAAGGAATTAATACATTCACATAATCTGATCCTATCATAAAACACGTTCATTTGCAGTGTGATTATCCAAATTCTCTCAATAAATATAAAATTGACCTTCATTGTATTAATTCTTGTTTTGTATATATTATGGGGTAAACTATACCAATGGTCACTAATGTTTGAGTAAGTTTCTATTTTTCCCATTGAAGTTTCAAAAGTAACAAATTAATCACTAACATTGTTGATATGTAACAAAATGGTCATTAATGTTATCGATTTGTAACAAAATGACCACTACACAGTTATGTTTATTAAATTGATGACGCGGCGCCGTTAATAAAAAAGTTAATATTTAGTTTTACCCCTAAACTATTGCTAAAAAATCAAATAGGTTCTTAAACATTGATTTTATATCTAATTTATCCCAAAAGCTTTCTAATTTCCATTTTTTTAAATGCCCACCATCTCAATTATATTCTAACCACTTTCCTTCTAAAACTAAACCCACACTTAGACAAATTCTCGTTTATCTTTAAATATTCTAACCACTTTCCTTACAAAATGCAAATCATCCCAAAAAGTATTATTTTTTAATTAAAATTAATTGAATATATGGCTTTAAATACTTATGTATTTGTCTTTAGTGGGAAAACTCCATTTATCTATGCAGTGTGATTTTTATTTTGTAAGGAAATTGATTCGAATATAGATATGGTAGTGGCAGGGACGGAGTTAGGATTTTAGTTCAAGGGGGCAAAGTATAATTAACAATGGAAAATAGGGGCAAAAATCAAAATAAATCAAAATTTAAAGGCCTAAATAAGTAATTTTCACAATATTATTTTATGATAAAAAAGTTTGGTGGCAGTGCCCCCAAGCTCCTATGTACTTCCATCCGTGAGTGGTGGGGTGTTTGTAAAAATTATAAATTAAAATGTTTTAGGATAAATTATATATAAAATCATTGTTTAAGGAGTTATTTGATGTTTTAGCAATAGTTTAGGGGTAAAACTAAATATTAATATTTTTATTAATGTTGCCACACCATTAGTTTAACATGGATAACGGTGGAATGACAATTTTGTTACAAATTGATAACGCTAGTGACTATTTTGTTACAAACTGATAACACTAGTGACCATTTTGTTACTTTTGAAACTTCAATGGGAAAAAAATTTACTCAAACATTAATGATCATTGTTGTAGTTTACCCTTTTATATTTAGACATTTATTTGATACAGTTAAGAACACGAGTTAAATTTATTCAATTTAAGCGTTGACTAAATTGTTAATTAAACTCGAACAACTCAGAATCTATCCGATTGAGATATAATCGCTCATTATAATTTGGATAAAATCAGTTCACCAATCAAATTAGTGTAAGATCAAAGAACCCAAAAACAAATTAAAAAAAGAGAGGAGAAAAACAAATAAAAGAGCTCCATTTGAATAATCTAATACGTAGAAAATTCCCAATCGACGCATGCACAGTGAGTCGGGTGAGTCAAGCCTCCCGTGTCAGAACTCGGAACGCATAATTTACTTGACCCGGTAATCTCTAAGAATGAAATGAAATAGCAGGCAACTCATTTTTGTCACATTTTTCTCATTTTTGAATAATTATTGACCGTTTCAACGTATAATCACATTTTTGACAAACAAGTTCAAATCATGATTTGCCAGCCACCAAACCCTGTTTATCAAAATATTTTATTAAATTATTAAATGAGTAAAAATATATATTTTAAATTATTTTTTATTTTTTGAATATATTTTTATTTATTACTAAAATATGGACGCATGATTTTATGTTAGGAGTGAACTTATATAATTTTAGGAGGATATAACTTATAAAATTATAGGAGGATGAAAACATACTATCAATAAAAAATATGAAGAAAATGTATAAAATATATGATAATTTGAAACTTTGAGACGAACAATTATCCCTCGTTATCCACTCAATCTATTCTTGAATTATCAATATTTTATATTCACTCGTCCAAAAATTCTAAAAAATATATAAAAAAAATTCACAATTTAAACTTATCATACCTCATTAAAAAAAATAACTTCAAGTATATTTATAAGATGATATTATTACAAAAGTCGAATAATTAAAACATAGATGTCGGATAAGAAATAAAGTATTTTAAATAAAATTATGGTAAAAAATACACGAATTAAAACAGAATATGCCATGGCTACAGCTACCATTCGCCCTCTATAAATGCTCCACTCTGCAACTTTTTTCTTCCTCATACGTACATAGTTTATTTCGGTCTTTGTTTTTGTTCTCTGCAGTCTCTGTTGAAGATTCCACCTGCGTTTTCCAACTTTTATTCAAAGTGAAAAAGAAAATAACATTCTGAATTTAAATCTAAGTTTTAGTTGATCCAAAGGGAAGAGCAAAAAAACCCTAAAAAACACCATCAAAATGCAAAGAAAATAAAGTAAATTTGAAGAAGAAGAAGAAGAAGAAGAAGAAGAAGATGTGTTTCGTGTTGTTGGGTGGTAAACAAGAGAGAGAGTTGGGGCGGATGCAAGCGCCCGGGTTTTGCCCGCACTGCGGCGGCAAAGTGGAGGCCGTCGACGTGGAGAGCGAATGGAGGTTATGTTTCTTGCCCGTTTGCTTCAAGATCAAGAGAAAATATTATTGCACTCTGTGTGCCAAGCGTTTGGTGTTGTATTTCTAGCTACTTCGATCTAGATTTCGCTCTTCTTCTTCTTCTTCTTCTTCTTCTTCTTCTTACATAATTTGATTTTTGCATGTTCGGAACCCGTTTCTGTTTGATCCTTTTAAAAACTGTAAATGCTTTTCTCCCCTGTATAAATGAACATTTTGTTTCGTTCTTTCGGTCTTCAAAGTTTTTCCATGGCGAAAGAGAACATTCAGATCTGAGATACCATTTTTTTCCAGAATATAATATATACAGATTTATACTTTGAAACACAAACGATAATTTTCTGGGTTTAGTTTGATATGTAATGTAGAGCGAGCATTTCTTAAGCTAAAATGATTTATTTATTTATTTTTGTCAAAATATTACAAGGCTTATTATATCTACTCTTGATCTTCTTGTCAAGCAAACTCGTACAATCTTCCAGTCTAATTCTGGGTTTCATATTACCTTTGTTCACCGTGTTTGTAATATTTATGCTCACAAATTGTGTATTCAGATATTTATTGATATTCAATTATTTTCTTTTAAAATTTAATATAAAAATAAGTAATTAAATTATACTTTACATTAATTTTTGTTTGTTAAAGAATTTTCCGTTAAAAGTCTAACGATTTCTCCTTTACACTTTTAGGTTTACACATTGTATTTTTAATATTTTAGAAATAATAATATATTTTTTTTTTAAAAAGAGAGAAAAAATTAAAAGAAAATCAAGCTCCCACGTTGTCTCCTCTCTCTCCCATCCCCCCACCTCCGACGGTGAAGAGTTATCACCGGTTGAGTTTTGTTTGGATCAAGGCAAGGAACTCAATGATGACAGTCATATAATGCACGGACAGTTGTATTTGTTGGAATCATCGAAAAATAGTAAAGGAAACCCTAAAATTTTGACAACCCTTCACATAAATTTCCATGACGATCAACGCAATTTCACGGTGGGTGAGAGGACTAAGTTTTGGTAGCGACGACTAAACAATTCTGATGATGTCAACGGTGACGACCAAGGACCGATAGTGGAGGAAATAATTTTTGAGATTTTTTAATTATATATATTAAGTGTTTTTTATTAAAAAATTGAAGTTTTATGTGTGACACGTGTCAAACAGGCCCGATCCTGACATTTTAAGGGCCCTAGGCCAGAAGGTGAGGACAAGAAGACAAGTGGGGTCATACTTAGATTTCTCTCATCATTAAAATGGGGCCTACTGAATTATCATATTTTTGGGTTTTTTAAATAAAAAATGATGTTTAAAAATATTTTTTTTAATTATTGGGATCACTAAATTATCATATTTTAAAGTATTTGAAATAAAAATATATATTTAAAAATATTTTTTAATTATTAAACTTAAAAATAATTTAAAAAATGGGCCCCTCCAATCTTGAGGCCCTAGCCCCTAGCCTATGCCCAGGGCCGGCCCTGGTGTCAAATAAAAGCTAATTTTAACGGTAATTACGGTCTAGGCACCTAAGTGTAACGTTAGAAACGTTAAACACCTATTGTTAATAAAAAAAATTTAGGCACCAAAAATCAATTTAAAATATAATTTAATAACTTATTTTTGTATTAAGCATTTTTTTACGGATTCATATTCTATATATTCAAATAATTTGAGAATTTATATGTTAAAATTACTTTGCACCACGGATTTGAAGAAAAATGGAATATCCATTATTTGAATTCACATTAATTATGTATTCAAATTCGACTCTTTATTTTAAAAAAATTAATAATATATTTATTTTTAAGGGATTTAAATTTGATCATCCAACTTTTAATATATTTAAATTTATTCAAATACAAATATTGACAAATATGATTCTGAAATTTAAATTCATATTTTTTTATTCAATTGTATGACCGATAATAATATTCGATTCAAATTAAATAATAATAATGATCAGAATTTACATATAAAAACATATTCAACTTTTTTTAAAAGAAATTGACATATTCTGATAATTTAGAAATCGTGTTGCCATCTCAACTCTAGACATTATATTAGAAATTTATTGCATCATTCATCTATATCAAGGGGTAGTCGGTGAGATTAATGTTACATTTTGTAGTAATATTATTATTAGACTTATCGAATCATTTGCCCCTAAATTATACTTGTTTTATTGAGTTACCCCCGGAAAACTTCCTTTCGAAACTTTGGCCTCCTAACATTTAGTTTTGTTACAATTTCAACTCAAATTGTTAATATATGTTAAGAGTCTTTTTGACTAATTAGAGCACGTAACTAAGGGATGCACATAGATCAGGTCGGGTTTTTGATCTATTCGATATGACCTGAAAATATATATCATTCAGTTAAGATTCGATTCGATATAAATTTAAATCCGAATTTGATCTGAATTTAAGGGTGACTTACCTGTAAAATTTAACCTTTTCCTTGTGTCCAACGGGTGGGGTGATGAGTGATGATGGTCCAAGTGCATGAGTCACGCTCTTATGAATTTCGTGCAGAGGAAAAAGTTTCCCCAAAGGACGAAAAAAAGTGGAAATTGCCCTATTAACGAAAGTGCAATTATGTAACATCACTTGCCATTAAGGCAAAGCCGTCGTTGGATTCGCTTTCTACTTCATTCAAGCCCATCCCGCATTCGGTATACAAATGGCCTTTGTCGCTTACTATGTTTCTATTTTTATGTTAAATTAATAAATAACGTTTAATATAATGTTTTTTCTATATAAATATAGGTATCTGATTTTTATTGATATTAATATGGATCATGCACTGTAGAAACAAGAGAGACATTCCTAATAAAGTTTGCTCTATTTACAATCATCATGATTCGAACATCTGACCTTACTTAAGGGATTTAGTGTTTTATCTCAATAAATCAACTGATTGTTAGTTAGTTTATGTTTTGTTTTAGTACCTTATTGTTATGTTTTCAATGATGATGTTAATGTATTATCATAAAATAATGTTGCTTCATCGTTGAAAGTTAAAATAAAAAATCATATAATCAATTGTGTTAATTTTGTAACGATGGGTATTAATTGAAACCTAAACTAAATGTTAAGTATGGTTTTGAAAAAAAATAAAGTTTATGTATCAAAATTAAAAAAAAGTAATAGTTTAATTACTAAACATGTAATTTACCCTTTTTATATTTTAATTTAGGGTAAAAAGCTATTTTATTGAGTTTCTCAACTATTAAATGTTACACAATGATACTTTGAATATAGGGCGTTGCTTTGTTGAGTCTCCAAATATCAAAAGTTGTAAAATGGTCGTCCAACTATTCGTATCTTCCAAACTTATCATTTTTAGTTAAAAAATTGACGATCATCTGTGTTAGACGCTAATCTATTGACTATGATATGATAAAATCATATATTAATAATATATGTTGGCACCATCGTTGCTTTCAAAAACTGACTCAATGTCATAATATTTCAAGCACTAGCTCGACGACATAATGTAATATAGAATCAATCTACAGGATACAACTCAAATAGTTTCAAGTTTGTCAATTTTTTAACAAAATAAGGCAAGTTTGAAACATATAAATAGTTGAGTAGTCATTTTGTAACTTTTAACAGTCGAAAAACTCAACAATACTCTATAATCAACAGACCAATTTTTAGCTCTAAATAAATAAGTAATTTAACAAAACGTCGTTCCATAGTCATAGAATTATTTATGTACTATTTTATAGCTAGCAAAACATGTCTGAAATCCCACCACATGCTTAGTCCATTATCAAAATATGACGTCACACCTCAACTTTTTTATCTAGGGTGATTACAATGTTAGTATATGTTTTAAATATTCTCTATCATTTGATAATGACTGTTAAAATACCATACATTAGGGATAATAACCATCCATTTAACCACTGAGGTCGCTTAGTTCGTGTGCTCCTCAATTTATGTAATGCCCCGAATTCTGGGTTAGTAGTTTTGGTCAACCTGAAACCCTCAGTAGAGCCCATTAGATTTTCCAAACCAATTTTAGACCAATTCTTATGAATATTGGGCTTAGGTTGGCCCAATAGTTATAGGAAAGTGGTGTTTTTAAAAGTAAGTAAATAGTAGAATGATCTAAAGTGTAGTTTACCCTTTTTGTTAAAACTGAAAACTTTCCCCCTCTTTTTATATCATTTCACGTAACCAAACTCCCCATAATATCTCACCCACTCTTTTTCTTCATTCCATCAGTTTCCCTTTCTTCTTCTTATCAAGAGCCAAGTTTCAAGTATTATAAGCTTAGTTTGTTGTAGTCAAGGTAAAAATGTTTTCCTCCATCCTTCAAGCTTTGTTTTAAGCTCTATTTTATAAGTTTTAGAATTTGTTTTCAAAAATGAGTTTTATGGAAGTTAAGCGGATCCATGAATCCAAGCTTGATTATAGTGTATTCAATTAACCTAAAGCATCTTAACCTTTAATCCAAGAGCTTAGTTAGTTTAGTAAACCCATTTTCTTGTCTTTGTTTAGTAAGGGAGGTGGGATAAAACTCTAAAGCAAGAGGAAAAGAGAAGTTGTCCCTTGGTTAACTTGAGAGAGTTTCTAGCAAGCAAGAAGCAAGGTAACACACTATCAACTCTTCCATAATCCTAGTGATCATTATAAATGAGTTATAGCTTGAGAGTAAGTTATGAAGCATAGTGTTATATGTTAATGGTAGATTACATGATTTATGTTATAAGCATGATATAAAGCCTTATTTATGCTCCTTGTAATCATATAAGACTTTAAAGAATGTTTGGGGACCTTACTAGGGTATATAGAATTGAAATATAGCATTTTCGTTTGTGTTTTATGACTTATGCAGGTAGAGTATCGATACTATAGGGATAGTATCGATACTATAGGGATAATACCGATACTTGTTCTTCGTTTTGGGCAAATTCATGAGTTTCTGGGCAAGAGTATCAATACTCTTTAAAGAGTATCAAAACTTTGGGTCATAGTTCGAAACTCCCAGAAAGTTTTGAAACTAGACAGAACATAATGTTTAAAAGTATCGATACTTATATAAAATATCAAAATTTTTGCATGAGTATCGATACTTTCAG